TCAGTGGGCAGCGCCTCGGCCTGCTGGACGGGAAGGGTCCCGGGTTCGATTCCCGGCCCAGGGCATGGGCCTGGGTGGCTGAGGGCACCTCCCCAGTGGGGGGCGCGCAGGAGGCGGCGGATGGATGACTCTCTCTCTCCTCATCGATGTTTTTCTCTCTCTCCGTCCCTCTCCCTTCCTCTCTGTCAAAAAATCAATAAAATATATTTATATATTTTTTTTTTAAAAAGAAAAAGATAAAGGGGAAGAGGTCACAGCCACCTGCTCTCGGTCCCCGTTCCCTGGAGGTGGTGCAATACGGTGGTTTTTTTAAAATTTATTTTAATTTACATTTTTTTTATTTTTATCTCAGCTCACAGCCGGCGGCCGGCTTTGGCAATCCACCCCCCGAGGGGATGTGGTCGGGCTTTTGAGGATGGAAATGCATCTCGTTGGTTCTAAGAGACTCCGAGGTCTAGAATCCTCCCCCTGAGTGTTCTTAGGAAAAAAAATATATAAAAAATAAATATATATATATATATTTCTTTTATTTTTTTAAATTTAATTTTAATTATATGTATATAATTATATATATAGATCTCTTATTTTTTTTAAATTTAATTTTAATTATATGTATATATAATTAAATTTAATTATATATATAGATATATAGACAGATAGACAGACAGACAAAATTTAATTTAATTATATATATTTCTTTTATTTTTTAAAATTTATTTTAAATTATATGTATATAATTATATATATATATTTCTTTTATTTTTTTAAACTTAATTTTAATTATATGTCTATAGTTATATATATTCCTTTAATTTATTTTTATTTAATTTTAATTATATGTATATAATTACATACAGATCCCTTTTATGTATTTTTATTAATTTTTAATCCTCACCTGAGGACATTTTGCCATTAGTTTCTCTCTCTATATCTATATCTATTTCTATATCTATATAGCTATATATTCCTTTTATTTATTTTTATTTAATTTTAATTATATGTGTACAATTATATATATATATATACATATATATATCTTCCCTCTATTTATTTTTATACATTTAAAAAATTATATAGATATAATTATATGTCCCTTGATTTATTCTTATGGAAATTTTAAGTATAGGTATATAATTGTATCTATATCCCTTTTATTTCATTTTAATGATATAGATATAATTATATAAGCTTTTATTTATTTTTATTCAAATTTTAATTATAGATATATCCCTTTTATTTGTTTTTTATTAGTTTTTAATGCTCACCTGAGGATATTTTGCCATTAGTTTTCTCTCTCTCTCTATCAATATCTATATCTATATCTATATCTATAGCTATATATTCCTTTTATTTATTTTCATTATTTTTAATTATATGTATATAATGATATATATATCTCCCCTCTATTTATTTTTATTAATTTTTAAAATTATATAGAGATAATTCTATGTCCCTTTTATTTATTCTTATGGAAATTTTAAGTATAGGTATATAATTGTATCTATATCCCTTCTATTTCTTTTTAATGATTTTTTAATGATATAGATATAATTATATATCCTTTTATTTATTTTTTTATTAATTTTTAATGCTCACCTGAGGATATTTTGCCATTGGTTTTCTCTCTCTCTCTCTCTTTCTCTCTCTCTCTCTCTCTCTCTCTATATATATATATTTATATTGATTTCAGAGAGGAACAGAGAGAGAGAGAAACATCCATGAGGAGAAAGAATCAGGGACCGGCTGCCTCCTGCACGCCCCCTGCAGGGGATGGAGCCCACAACCTGGGCCCATGCCCTTGACCGGGAATCGAACCCGGGACCCTTCCGTCCGCAGGCCGAGGCTCTACCCACTGAGTCACACCGGCCAGGGCTCTGAGACATTTTTTTAATTCAAGTTTTAGTGGTCGGTGCACGTCATAGCGACCGGTCGGCCGTTTGTCTGTCTGCCCCCTGGTGGTCAGTGCACGTCATAGCGACCGGTCGGCCGGTCGGCTGTCGGCCCCCTGGTGGTCAGTGCACGTCATAGCGACCGGTCGGCTGGTCAACTGTCTGCCCCCTGGTGGTCAGTGCACGTCATAGCGACCGGTCGGCCGGTCGGCTGTCTGCCCCCTGGTGGTCAGTGCACGTCACAGCGACTGGTTGGCCGTCTGCCCCCTGGTGGTCAGTGCGCGTCATAGCGACCGGTTGAACATCATTAGCACATCATTAGCACACCATTAGCATACATTAGCATACCATTAGCATACCATCAGCATATCACCAGCATGTCATCAGCATATCATTAGCATATCATTAGCATAGGATGCTTTGACCGGCCGACCGGCCAACCGGCCGCTCATCCCGTCAGGCTCCTGTGCTCGAGGCCGTGACTCGGTTTCCCCCGGGCGCCTACCTTGGTCCGCGAGCAGCAGGGCGAACACGGGTGCGAGGAGGAGGGCGGCGAGCGGGGGCCGGGCCATGGGGACGCGGGTCCGGTCACGGGCGGGGCCGGCCTGCAGGAGGGGGCGGAGTCAGGGGCACCCGGCGGGCGCGGGTTCGACTGGACGGGGAGGGGGCGGGGGGGAGGGGGGAGGTGGGATGGGGAGGAGGGGGGAGGGGGGGAGAGGGGGAGAGGGGGAGGGTCCCGGCTGCCAGGGAGCCCGGTGCAGGGAGAGCGCTGAGCGTGCACACAGGCGTGTGCTGGCGTGTGCAAGCATGTGCGGGCGTGTGCAGGCGTGTGAGTGCGACAGGCACACGCTCACGGCTGCTCATGAGCACATGGATGTGGGCTCGTGTGCAAAGGATTCTGTGTCTGTGTGTCTGTCTCTGTGTGTGTGTGTGTCTGTGTGTGTCTCTGTGTGTGTGTGTGCGTGTCTCTGTGTGTCTGTTTCTGTGTCTGTGTGTGTGCATCTCTGTGTGTCTCTGTGTGTGTGTGTCTGTGTTTGTGTGTGTGTCTGTGTATGTCTCTGTGTGTATGTGTGTGTGTATGTGTGTGTCTCTGTTTCTGTGTGTGTCTCTCTTTGTGTGTTTCTGGTGTGTGAGTGTGTGTGTGTCTCTGTGTGTGAGTGTGTGCGTGTCTCTGTGTGTCTGTTTCTGTGTCTGTGTGTGTGCATCTCTGTGTGTCTCTGTGTGTGTGTGTCTGTGTTTGTGTGTGTGTCTGTGTATGTCTCTGTGTGTATGTGTGTGTGTATGTGTGTGTCTCTGTTTCTGTGTGTGTCTCTCTTTGTGTGTTTCTGGTGTGTGAGTGTGTGTGTGTCTCTGTGTGTGAGTGTGTGCGTGTCTCTGTGTGTCTGTTTCTGTGTCTGTGTGTGTGCATCTCTGTGTGTCTCTGTCTGTGTGTGTCTCTGTGTCTGTGTGTGTCTGTGTCTGTGTGTGTGTCTCTCTCTGTGTGTCTTTCTCTGTGTCTGTGTGTGTGTCTCTGTGTTTGTGTGTGTGTGTCTCTGTGTCTGTGTGTCTCTCTGTGTGAGTGTGAGTGTGTGTGTGTCTGTGTGTTTGTGTGTGTGTCTGTGTTTCTC